TGTGACTGCCTCTCTCCTGCGCACATGAGGCTGAGTCCTGCCCTCCTCTGTCCTCAGCCCCCCGTAGCCAACAGGGCTCATGCTTGCCTGTGACAGCCTCTCTCCTGCCCACTTGAGGCTGAGTCCTGCCCTCCTCCGTCCTCATCCCCCATGGCTGGCAGGCCTCCAGCTTCTCCGTGACTGCCTCTCTCCTGTCCACTCAAGGCTGCGTCCTGCCCTCTTTAGTCTTCATCCTCCATGGCCTGCAGGCCTCGAGCTTCCTCCTGACTGCCTCTCTCCAGCCCACTGGAGGCTGAGTCCTGCCCTCCTCCACTCTCACCCCTGTGGCTGGCACGGCTCTAGCTTCCCCGTGATTGCCCCTCTCCTGAACACTTGAGGCTGAATCCTGTCCTCCTCCTTCCTCAGCCCCTTTGACCAGCAAGGCTCCAGCTTCCCTGTGACAGCCTCTCTCCTGCCCACTCAAGGCTGAATTCTGCCCTCCTGTCCTCAGCCCCTGTGGCCATCATGCCTCCAGCTTTCCCCTGACAGCCTCTCTCCAGCCCACTGGAGGCTGACCCCTGCCCTTCTCAGTCCTAAGGCCCCGTGGCCATCTAGGCTCCAGCTTCCCTGTGACTGCCTCTCTCCTGTGCACATGAGACTGAGTCCTGCCCTCCTCTGTCCTCAGCCCCCCCGCCCCCGTAGCCAACAGGGCTCCTGCTTTCCTGTGACAGCCTCTCTCCTGCCCACTCAAGGCTGAGTCCTGGCTTCCTCTGTCCTCAGCCCCCGTAGCCAACAGGGCTCCTGCTTTCCTGTGACAGCCTCTCTCCTGCCCACTCAAGGCTGAGTCCTGGCTTCCTCTGTCCTCAGCGCCCGTGGCAGTCATGGCTCCAGCTTCCCTGTGACTGCCTCTCTCCTGCCCACTTGAGGCTGAGTCCTGCTCTCTTTCTTCCTCAGCAACCATGGCCGGCATTGCTCCAGTTTCCCTGTAACAGCCTCTTTCTTGCCCACTTTAGGCTGCATCCTGCCCTCTTCCTTTCTCAGCCTTTGTGGCTGGCACAGCTCCAGCTTCCCTGTGACTGCCTCTCTCCAGCCCACTTGAGGCTGAATCCTGCCCTCCTCTGTCCTCAGCCCCTGTGTCCGGCATGCCTCCAGCTTCCCCCTTACAGTCTCTCTCCAGCCCACTGGAGGCTGACCCCTACCCTCCTGAGTCCTCAGGCCCCATGGCAATCATGGCTCCAGCTTCCCTGTGACTACCTCTCTCCTGTCCACATGAGGCTTAGTCCTGCCCTCCTCTGTCCTCAGCCCCCCGTAGCCAACAGGGCTCATGCTTGCCTGTGACAGCCTCTCTCCTGCCCACTTGAGGCTGAGTCCTGCCCTCCTCCGTCCTCATCCCCCATGGCTGGCAGGCCTCCAGCTTCTCCGTGACTGCCTCTCTCCTGTCCACTCAAGGCTGCGTCCTGCCCTCCTCTGTCCTCAGGCCCTGAGGCCAGCAGGGCTCCAGCTTGCCTGTGACAGCCTCTGTCCTGCCCACTCAAGGCTTAGTCCTGCCCTCCTCTGTCCTCACCCCCCCATGGTCGTTAGGCCTCCAGCTTCCCCCTGACAGCTTCTTTCCTGTCCATTCAAGCTTGAGTCCTGCCCTCCTCTGTTCTCAGGCCCCATGGCCAGCAAGGCTCCAGCTTCCCTGTAACAGTCTCTCTCCTGCCTACTAAAGGCTGAGTCATGCCCTCCTCCATCCTCAGTACCCATGGCTGGCATGGCTCCAGTTTCCCTGTGACTGCCTCTCTCCTGCCCACTTGAAGCTGAGTCCTGCCCTCCTCTGTTCTCAGGCCCCGTGGCCAGCAGGGCTCCAGCTTCCCTGTAACTGCCCACTCAATACTGAGTCCTGCCCTCCTCCGTCCTCAGGCACCACCCCCCTTGGTCGTCACAGCTCCAGCTTCCCTGTGACTGCCTCTCTCCTGCCCACTCTAGGCTGAGTCCTTCCCTCCTCTGTCCTCAGCCGCCATGGCTGGCACAGCTCCAGCTTCCCTATGACCAGCTCTGACACTTATTTCTGAGCCGCAATGACCGCTTCCTGACTGGTGCCTGCCCCAGCGCCATTTCCCTTCAGTCTCAGCCCCCGCTGACATCACTGCACACAATACTCTTCAGCTCATCCATGTGTTTCAGCAAGAAAACGATACACTTGTGGTGACACTGTGCCTAGGATGCACCCAGAGAAGGCCATTTTAGCTCAGTATAAAATGTGCTCGTAGTGCTGGTAATGAAACAGGGGCATAGAGGCCAGGTGACCATCAAAGAGCACTGGACCCTCATGTCACATCCTGCCCTGGTCAGGAGGGGTAGGAGGCTGGGGTGGCTAGAGGAACAGGAGGCTGCTATAGGGATGGTGGGGGGGGGGGCTGGCATGGCAGGAGGGACAGGAGGCTGGGGTGGGTATGTTTGGTGGAAGGAACAAGGAGAGCCACATCTATCAGGAGCAATAGAGTGGAAAGATCCAAGTACAGAGCACATGGAAAGAGGAGAGTTCTGGAGAGTTCTGAGATCCGTGTTTTATGGCAGCACTGAGAGCCAAAGTGGACTGAAAAGCCTTCGGAGATACCCAAGGAACAATTCAGAAAAGACCAACGATACCCAAAGTTTTCTTTCTTTAGGGGCATGCATGGTGGCTCACAACTGTAACCCCATAATTAGGGATTACAGAGGCAGGAGCTGTAAATTCCAGGCCAGGCTGCATCTTAGGGGAAAGCTGGAAAAGAACCAAACAGCAGGGAACAAACACGTACTGGAGCCGTCAGAAAGGCATGCAGCCACGGAGGGCTCGGAGGAGCCCAGGGCCCCCTGGCACCAGCCTCACAAATCACAGCAGCTGGTGATTGCCTCCCAGGGCTTCCACTCCTGTGGAAACTCTCCAGGGACTCTTCATTGGTTTTCTTCCTCTGACACCAGGATGCCTCCCTACTTCCTTCCCTCTGGCTGGAATCTGACCCATGGAGACAACTCTTGAGATCTTTAGTTCACAGGGCCTGCTGGAGCCAGCCGAAAGGGAGCCTGTGCCACGGAGCCTGTCCCGGAGATGCCCCGCGGCCAGCCTGGCCAGGCCAGGGCCCTGACATGCCTCCGGGGCCCAGAAACGCCCCGTTCTTACCTTTCTACCTGGGAAAGAGTCTGCCAACCCAAAGCCATAGGGTTTTAACCTGATTTAACCACATAAACACTTGAAACTTCCCAATATAAAAGGTAAAAGGGCAAATGACAAACTGAGAAATAAAAATTTTGTGTCTGGGTGCTGTTCCTTAGTTCTTTGATACTCAAGGCTGATGCTCTACCCTTAAGCCACAGCTCCACTTCTGGTTTTTGTGTGGTAAACTGGAAATGAAGAGTCTTATAGACTTTCCAGCCTATGCTGGCTTTGAACTGCGATCCTCAGAGTAGCTAGGACTACAAGTGTGAGCCACTAGCATCTGGCTAAGCAAAGTAACATTTTCAGTATACAAAACCCAAGATCAGTTTCTTTCAAACACAGAGTTTGTATATACCAATAAAAAATGGCTGAGCCCATTTATGTAAGAACATAAATAGATCAATGCAAATAGCCAACAAACAGAAAAAGAAAGTTTATCTTCTGAAATGCTAATCAAAACACCTGGGTACCATCTACCTGTCTCCAGCTGGCTGCCTGCCCGACACAGCCCTGGCCAGCCCCGGGGCAGCTGCCTGGCCACAGGCAGCTGGGCCGCAGGCCCACGCTCTGTCTGCACCATCAGGCCAACCGGGCACTTGGTGGCCCAACGCCCAGCAACCCAGGCTCAGGTTTCCCACGACAGCAGGAGACACGCAGACCCCGGGGCTCCTCCATTAACTGGAGATGCCCGGTGGTTGCCCCCACCCCTCATCAGAGAGGACGTTGCTCTCAGACATTGCAGCCATCATGTTTGAGGATCAAAAGGAAAACAGAAAGGGGCTCAGTTTGGTGTCTCTTGAACCCAGAGAGCTATGTGTTCCCTCCAAAGGTGGAAGGTCAGAGCACAGACAGCAGGGCTGGGACAACTCCACACAGCAGGCCTTGTCTGGGTCACAATTGACAGTCTGTCCCCTGCAGACACGTCCTTGCCACCACACACAGGGACCCCTGTCTGGCCCCACACCCGGGCGCCCCAGCTCTAACAGCTGGTGTGCTGGAATTCACAGGCCCTGAGTCACCGCAGGCCAGGCACCCACGCGTTGTTCCCAGGAGGCTGGGGCTCCAGCGAGGGGCTCAGGGAAAAGGCCCCACAGCCTACAGCATAAGGGGGTCACCAGGAACTTCCCTGGGGCACAGGAGGCCACACAGCTGTCACCCATCACGGGCAAGGCTAGCCCAGGTTGCTCTGGACCAAGTCCCATGTCATTGTGCCCCTGTAGCCTGTGTTAAAGACAATCATCAGCCTGCTATGGCTGTCTGGAGCCTGGTCACTATGTGAGGGACTGGCCCCAGTTGGGCAGTTCCTGCCTAAGTGCCTTGTTTGGTTAGCTGGCTTTAAATTATTGATCATATCTTTGGTTTGGGTTTTTATGTTTTTCTATGTTTTTGAGACAGTCCATGCTGGCCTCAAAATTATGATCCTCCTGCCTCAGCCTCCTAGAGCTGGGTTACTGGTATGAACCACCACTCCTGGCTTGCTGGCTTGTATTCACGGGGTCCTGAGCCTTCATTTTGGAGCTCAGTAGCAGCCTGGATGGAACACAGCACACACTGGGGCACAAGCTGACCATGGCAGGCTGGAAACCCAGTAATAAGATGGCTGAAGGGTTTTCCCGGGGAACCAGGGTCCCCAGAAAAACCTCAGAAGCACAGGGTGACTTTCAGGGCTCCAAAGGGGCCAGAGTGCCAGTAGAAACACACCACCAAATGCCCTGCACCGGGGGCTCTGCTCCCCAGGCTGGAGCATGGCTGGGGGTGCCTGCCATCCTCTGTCCTGGGTGGACAGCCCTTCCCCCACCCCGCCCAGGCCAGCCCAGCACGCGGGACGGCACAGGGTTACCTGGAACTTGTCAGCGTCTGCTCCTCCAGCCTGACCCAGGAATAGGCCAGCTCCGTGCCCCAGCTCCAGGCCCGGTGACGACCTTGCAAATGGCACCCTCTGAAACTCATCGCAGTCCAAGTAGAGAGCCACGGTGCCACCGTCCACACTGAGCGCAAAGCGAGTCCACCGGCCGACAAGTGCAGGCAGGCGGAAGCTTGCAGCCACGTGGGTCTGCGCAGCGCCCGGCTCAGTGTAGAGCAGGGAGACGTTCTGGTACCCGCCCTGCACCTCTGACAGCTTCACGCCCAGCGACACCAGGGCCTGTGCTGCGTCCGTGATGGCGAGCAGCACGCCCGGGCCCGCCGTGGCCGGCCGGATGTGGAACAGCAGCGAGAAGTCTCGGAAGAAGAGTCTGGGGAAGTGGCTCTGCGCACCCTGTCCACTGTTGGCGCCCGGTCCAAAGTTGTAAGCGGGCCCCACGTCGGGGTCCTCGATGGGGGTGATCTGCGGGGGCAGGGGCTCCCTGAGGAGCTGCAGGAGCTCCACTTCCTCGACAGCGCTCTCTGCAAGGAGAAGGATGCCTATGAGTGGTCGTGGAGCCCCGGGCACGCCGGGAGTCGGGGAAGGGATAGCGAGTCAGCCAGCTGGGGCAGGACCCTCCTCCCTGCTCTGCCCAGCCCTCTGAGCTCCGCTAGCCAGTGATCACCAGCAGCGGCATTTGGGAGGCAAGCCGCTCCGCCGGCCTGCAGGCCGAGTGGGGGCAGCCAGGGCAGAGGGAAGAGCCTAAGCTGCACACGTCAGAGGCCTGCAGCTCCAGGCTGCGCAGCGTGGGTCAGAGACGCGGGACATGCCATGTCCCATCTAGCAGGTCTCCACTGTCATGCAGCCTCCAGCTGACACTGACACAGGAATCCCTCCCAGGTCTCCTCCAAGCCAGTCGAGGTACAGACCTGGATCTTTTACGGGGTGTGGAAGTGGCTGGTCCTGGTCTCTGTACAAGGCTTTGAGCGGTGAGGGGTCCCTAACCCCCCTACGGCCCCCCACAGGTTGCCATGGGTACTGCCCGGGGAGGAGGGGCTCCCAGCAGCAGCCCTGGCAGACTCCCTGGCTGCACAGGTGAGTCGGCTGGACTCCGAGTCACTGTGACTGCCTTGTTCACTCACGCCTCCTCTACTGACGCCCACCCCTGGCCCAGGCCCGCCTTCCCCGTCCTCCAGGGAATCAACCGTGCAACACGCACGAGAGTTACTTTGCTGCTGGCATCTGGGTGCTCACCCTCACTTCTTGTCCTTCCCAGTGAGGCCAGAGGCCACTGCAGGACGCAGGACCTCCTCCCTGCAATGCTCTCAGGAACGGGGCTGTGACAGAAGCCCCACCACATCTGGAGAGCATGGTCAGTGCTGGATGCAGGATGGGCAAAGAACACTCCAGGAGGGCTGCTCCGCCCCTAACACACACGCCCCTGTGCCATGGCCTGGTCCAGGCCTGCTCCAGGCCTTTCTCAGGCCTCCTCTTCCCCATGCCCAAAGTCTGAGTCTGGACTTCTCACAACAGGTCTGACAGGGCTGGGAAGGTGGCTCAGTGGTAGAGTACTTGACTTGCCTGCTCGAGGCCCTGGGTTTGATTCCTCAGCACCACATAAGCAAAAAAAAAAAAAAAAAAAGCCAGAAGTGGTGCTGTGACTCAAGTGGTAGAGCTCTAGCCCTGAGCTGAAGAGCTGAGGGACAGCGCCCAGGCCCAGAGTTCAGGCCCCACGACCGGACCCAAAACAAAAAACAAAAAACCAGATCTGACAGTCCCATGGGAGTTGACCCTGGGCTGTGGCAGGCCTGTGTCAAGAACTCTTCTGGAAGGGAGCAGGCCTGCATCAAGAACTCTCCCTTGCAAGGGGCAGCAACCTGCAGGTGTCCTGAGAGACTGCAAAAGCTGGAGGGGCCAGCATGTGAATGCATGTGTGCACACACCAGGAGGGGCCAGCATGTGAATGCATGTGTGCACACACCAGGAGTGATCAGCATGTGAATGCATGTGTGCACACACCAGGAGTGATCAGTGTGTGAATGCATGTGTGCACACACCAGGAGTGATCAGCGTGTGAATGCATGTGTGCACACACCAGGAGGGGCCAGCGTGTGAATGCATGTGTGCACACACCAGGAGGGGCCAGCGTGTGAATGCATGTGTGCACACGCCAGGAGTGATCAGCTTGTGAATGCATGTGTGCACACACCAGGAGTGATCAGCGTGTGAATGCATGTGTGCACACACCAGGAGGGGCCAGCGTGTGAATGCATGTGTGCACACACCAGGAGGGGCCAGCGTGTGAATGCATGTGTGCACGCACCAGGAGTGATCAGCGTGTGAATGCATGTGTGCACACACCAGGAGTGATCAGCGTGTGAATGCATGTGTGCACACACCAGGAGTGATCAGCGTGTGAATGCATGTGTGCACACACCAGGAGTGATCAGCGTGTGTGCCGTGTGTGCCATGCACTGCATCAAAGGGCAGGTCTGCACTGTGGATCCAGGCAGATAGGCTCTCAGGACAGAGGAGAGGGAAGAAATGCTGAGCCCTGACTTTACAAGTCAGGCCATGTCAAAGAACACTAGTCAGAAGGGACATTGCCATACACGGTGTCCTCCAGGGCCACAGCAGCACAGCCATGTGGCAGAATGGGCGCCGGGCCTGGTGGCGGGGCTCTCTGCAGCCCCCTCATGCTGCTTGCTGTGGGTCCTGTGTGCAGCTGGCCGCGACGTGGGCCAGGCCTTGGTGGGCCCAGGGCCCTCTTAACTCAGGATGCAGCAGCTGCTGCTGCCCGGGCTGGAAGACACCAGTGTTACACAGCGGCCCCAGATCCTCAGGGGTGCGGCTCCCATTTCTTTTCCAGGAACTTCCCTTTGCCTCTGAAGCTAGGGCCCTAAGATCCCTGCTCTGTCCGCTGGTTGAGGTACTGAGAAGAGCAGGTCACGGCCTCCCGTGCTTGGGTGCAGGCCCCACGCTCTTGGATGGGAGGCCAAATGCTCTCTCAGGGGTGAAAGCCTGCACCAGGCCTCAGAGCGCCAGGGAGGCCTTTCTGGGAGGAGGAGGACAGCCTTTCTGCCCACGGAGCCCCTCCGGCTGTTCCCAGACCCAGGATCCCATCACCCTCCCTCCCCGGAGGCTCTGGAAGCCCCTTTAACTGCAGCCAGCATTGCCCCATGGTGGAGAGAGGCCCGGTCAGCAGGCCCTCCCCTGTGGGGCACAGCCCTGTGGGGGGGGGCACCCTGAGGCAGCCAGGGACGTAGTCTATTCCCTTCCGGAAGCACGGCCTTCACTACTAGCCTCATCCTCACCCAGCCAGAGCCCAAGCGTGGCACTGAGGGCAGGCGTGTGCCCCAGCCTTGGCCAGGGCTCCCCCAGAAAATACTCGATTATGGCAAATGTCACAAAAAGGCCCTACCTCAGGGACCCTGGGAAGAGAAGGCACAAACACCCAGCAATAGGAGGACACACCTGCTGCCACCAGACACCTCCAGGGATAAGACCTGCAGCCCAGCCAGACTCCTGACCCCCACTGGGGAAAAGGCCCCCAAGTGGGGTGGGGAGGTCTCCTAATGGGCCACACCTGAGCTCTCAGCACCCCACACAGCGGCTCCCAGGACCATGGCTCAGAGACACAGCCCCCAGCCCACCCAGCTGTAACCACACGCAGCAGGGCTGCTGAGGGCTTGCCCTTGCCTGTCTCCCCTCCTGCAGGGAGGTCTCTGCACTGTTAGGCCTAGCTCCTGAGCCATCGTCCTGCTTGCGGCCTCCAGGGGCATGCCCAAAGTGCCCCAGAAACTTCTAATTCAGCATAGGAGAAGAAGGCGGGGCTGAGACACTGGACTGCACCAAACAACTTCTCTGCGACCTTCTAGAGAAACCCATAGGGAACCACGGCAGTCCCACAGCATTTCCCGCTCCTGGGGTCTGCTCAGAACTCTGTGTGCACATGGGCAGGGCAGCCCCCAGTGCTGGACTCACCCTGAGCCCAGCGTCACCACACACAGGAGTCCAGGAGCAAGAGCACAGCAGACTTCCTAGCACAATACCGCCTGCCTGGCAGCGGGCTGAGATGTAGGACGCACTGGGGCCCGAGTTCCGACTCAGCCTGAGGAGGGCTCCGTGGTCTTAACCCCACCCCCCTCCCGTCTGTCTGGTTCCGTCCAGGCATAGCGCAGGACGTCGGGGTGGGAGGCTCAGTGACACCTCCAGGGGAGCCCCACAGCCTCCGTTCTAAGACACACACATGTTCAGGATCCTCACAGAAGCGTGAGGCAGAAACCACAACATTCACCACTCACTAAAACCCACAAGATGATAGGGTGGGGTAGGCTACGTGTGTCAGCAGTCAGAAGGCACCGGAGCTGTCCTGTCGGGTACGAGGCAAGCAGCGGCCACGTTAGGCAGGGGGCAAAGAGCAAACAGCAAAAACAGCCTTGACAGGCCAAGGGGAAACATCAGGCAAACAGTTCCACAGCAAGCATTGCGACAGGACGCCAGCGGGGCAGAGGTCAGGGTGACAGTGCGGGGGGACGCAGGGACAGCGTGCCAGGGCCCGCAGGTGTGCCCCTGGCCACCAGGTCCCAGACTCTGCAGGGGGGAGGGGGGAGTGTTGGCAATGACAAAGCCTGGGGTCCCCGCTCAGTCCCCCTTCCCCTAAGCAGTGTTCATGGTAAACTCCGCAGTCCTGATTTGTCCCTCAGAAGTAATGACAGAGCACAGGCCTGGGCAGCAGCACCGTCACCTCCCATGCCAGAAGGAAAACACTTGCAGAACAAACATCTCTAGGGTCACAGCACACCCTGACACAAAGACTAAAACCTCCTGAGCAGGAGACACCTGTCCTGACGGAGGCCTGGCACTGCCCCTTCACTGCATGACACCCACCCCCATCCACCTTGCCCGGGACCGTCCTGCTGGGGGTCAGTGATGCCCAATGAGGTCTGAGGGTGGCGGTCCCCCAGGAGACAGGCAGTACCTTCCTGTGGGCAGAACGCAGCCCGGGCTGCAGACCCAGGCCAGGCCCCCACAGGGCACCGGCCATGGCAGGCACGGGCACGCACGGCACCGTGCAGCAGGGGATGGCAGGATGTGACAGAGTCACCCGAGATGAAGACGAAGCAGAAAGGGAAGCGGGCAGGCAGGGGAGGGTGGAGAAGCACAACTTCGGGGCCAGCAGGCCTCCTCCTGGGGACACCTGGGAGGTGTCAGGGACACACAGGGGAGCACACACACACACACACACACACAAGGACACCCTAAAGAACGAAAAGCACACTGCGGTCAGATGAGAGGAGGCACTGCAAGGCGGCGGTGCAAGCAGCTGGTCACACAAAAGGACCGCACCGCACCGCCATCTTAGTGGATTCCTGGCCTGAATCTTTGGAGGCCAGAAGGCCGTGGCCAACATCTTCAAAGGGTGGAAAGGAAAATGATCATCCATTCAACCAAGAACCAAAAACGCTGAGAGTGGAAAACTCACCCCCAAAGCAGACCTGACAAAGTGGCAAAGACAGTTTTTGCCAAAATAGAGAAGCAC